CATTTTGGTGACTTGGGAATATTTTGATCCTGAAAAATAAGCAAGATAATGGATGCTATAAATCACAGTTTCCAAAGGAATTATTAGAAAAAAACAGAAATGCTGTTGTAATTATTTAAGGATTGATTTCGTATATCTTCTTTTATAGTTTTTCATGGTAAGAATTGTTTCAGAATATTTAAAGTGTATCAGTTTTCTCTTGAAAATTTATTTTACACTTTTCCTTTCTGAATTTGTTTTTTGAAAATATTTTGACTTTCTGCTCTTACAGAGTTCCGAAAGAAAAATTATTAACGGAATAATTTTTCTTTCGGATTTTAGACCTTGCATCTTGGAAGGTTTAGAAGGATTTGAGAGCAAGATTTGGAAAGGCTTTGAGACCTATGCTTTCCAGAAAAATGTGATGAAATGAAAAGCATCTGTATGGTATTAACATGCAATGGGCCCTTTTTTGGAGAATTTTTGGAAAAACAGTGAAAGCAAAACTATTTGAATTTTTTCATTTTGATTCCAGAAGTCTTTCTCTTAACATGTTTATCTTCCCTTTATTTTATTATCTTTCCACTAAATACAAGTATTGAAACAATCAAATAAAGCAAAGAAATTTAAAACTGACAATTTATTGAAAGCTTTATCTTATATGTCTCAGTGCCTGCCTGCCCTAAATTAAAAAATTTTGCTATCCATAAGTTTCGTTGCTCTGTGCTTCCCTAAATTCTAAAAATTCTGTTACACTGGCTCTAGCTCCAGCTGTGATCTTGTATCATTTCATATTTACTCTTAGTATTCATATTATTAAAGAAATAAAACTAGCAGTTTCTTCTATGCATTATAAGTAAAATCAGTTTTTTGGAACAGCAGAAGTCTTAAATTAAATCTGAAAATTCTAAAATGAACAGAAAATACATTGAAGAAGAAATTGATTTTGTAAAGAGAGAGAGAGAAAATTATTCTTCAAAGATACTTTGTTGTAACATTTGTAAATTAGATGAATCAGAAACTAGTGAGACATTGATTTGTTTATTGAAACAAACATAGAAAAGATTCTAAAAAGAATGGAATTGTTGTAGATTAACTAAAATACCTGGAGAATGCTCAAATTAACAAGTTGCATTAACATTTTGTTATTTGTTGTTGCAATTTTAGAACTGCTGTAAAATAGCCTTGGGATTTTTTTTATGGATATTTTTAGAATTATAACTATGTAATCTATTGATTAACTAGGTAATTTAATTATTTGTGACTAACTGCTCACCCTTAGAAGTTATCTCTACATGTTAAGATGAGTTATTTTCTTGCCTTGAACTTTATTGTGGATATCCCACTTGACATAAAATTTACATAAAACTCTGGACTGAGTGAGTACGTAACAAAATGAGGCATAAAAGAAGAATCAGTGTAAAGCTAACTATTAGTAAAATTTAAATAAAATAATCATCAGCCAATAATCTTCTTTAAAATATGTGGGACTGTTATAAGTGTAAAATGTAAATGTTTTGAGAAATTTTATAATTCAATGCTAATTACTTGGAAAAAAATTATGAATTTGATTTTATTGTATAACTAAAATATTAGATTTTGTTTAATAATATTGCTTCTTAGGCTTATTTTATTCTTACAAATTAGAAAAGTGGTATTATAAAACTGAAGATCAAATGTAGATAATAGCTTTAGTTTATTCAACTCCTATTTGCTTGATAGGTCCTTAATGTTTTTCATTGATGGTCCTTAGAAGTCTAATTTCCATGTACAAGACATGTGTATGAAACCTGATATTGAATTGGGTAAAGGGCCATTTTTGTTGTTTGACTTCTGAATTAGTATTTATTCGGCGTGTTATTGTGTCTTAATTAAAGGGCCATTGTTTTTAGTTTTAAATTTTCTGCATTGATTCATTAATAAATATTCTAGTAGATGGCTTGAGGATACTAGATAGAAATTAATGTTAACTCTGCATTTTATTGGCATCTTTATAAGAATGGTGATTGAAGGCTTGATTATTGTTTTATATTTTAATTCAGGTAGAAAAGGCATTGGAACATTTTGCTGTGAAGACACAGAAAGAGCTAGTTCTCCACAGAGATGAAAGAATCAAACCTCGTAATACAGTAGAGTGGTTGAACATGCGATCTTGGTGTTCATCTCATTACCACATCCGTTGTCCTAAAAGAATGTTTACGAAAAAATCTCCTGCCCGTTTGGTGAATATCAGAAATTTTACTTCCAATTTAGTGCTTTTTCTTTTCTCTCTCCTCTCTCTCTCTCTTTTTTTTTTTTTTTTTTTTTTTTTTTTTTTTTTGAGAGGGGTAACAAAATGTTTTTATGGAAATAAATTGTGAAAATGTGTTGGGGGAAAAAAGAAAAAGGTTTAACATCTAAATATGGCTGTAGATTTAAGGAAAAATAAAGGCCATATTGTAACATGTATTTGAATTAGTAATTTTAAATATGTTGGCAAAATGGTAATATTTCCTATTAACAATAGGCTAGTGGTCTATTCTAATCATTCATATTTTTAACATTATCAAGTTTCTGTAATTATTATTTGTAATTACTTTTTTATAATGCAGCACATGTGCTTAATGAACTGTGATTTGATTTCGTAAATGATAAGATGTGAATAATTTCATTCATAGTCAAACATTCCATCAAACAGTTTTATTGTAGTAGCTACATATTAAAAAAGATTAAACCTTAAGCTAAAATAATTTTTTAACAATATCAGGAAAATATTCTATATTGAAGTAGAATTATTAATCACTAGAATTTGTTTTACATTATTTGATCAAGAGAATGAGTTAATTCGCAAGCACAAACTGATTAATGTTTATTTAACTGAGTGGTAAAATATAACCATATGTTGATATAATCTGTCATTAATGTTAAAAATCTAGATGTCCATTTCCTATTTATACTAAATTGATTTCATCTGATTATGTGTACCTTGTATGTAATTGCTAGGAAAAACATTAATTATAAAATAGGTTTTTGTTATTATTTTAGAAAATATATTGTTCTGTAATATTCTGGTTCTATTTAATAAATGTGTATTCAATGAACAGGCAATTTTACTTATTCATACATTTTGGGACCTCTTGAGTTTATAAGCTAAAAAAATTGTAAATCAGAATTAAATAGCCCATTAAAAAGAGCATAAATTTTCTGGCCTCATTCTGCTAATACATAAAAAGAAGTAGTTTTTTGCTTGTCTTCATCTGAAAATGGTTTCATTATTTTCTTATTGAGGAGAGAAGACTGTATATTAGAATTGAAAAATTGGCATAAAATATTCTCTAAATATGTTTTATAATTTCACACTAGGTGCATTTAAGCTTGAAGTTGGACTTTAGCCAGTATAAAAAATATGTGTATATTTCTAAAAAAGATAATTTTTTCCATGTTTGAAAAAATAGAAAATAAAGTATATAGTGTGTGTGTGTTAAAAATGTACCACTAAAAATTATAATTATTGTAGGATCTCTTGTTAGTAGTATGCTATGAATCATTTTTTAATATGTTATTTTATATGTGTATTAAATTTCAATATAAAAAAGATACATGTGTGTATCATGTTAAAATCCAAAATTTTCATAATAAAAGACATTAACTATAATTTAATGACTAAATTTCTTTTAAATTGCTGCATTTTTTAAAATCTAATTCTCATGTTTAACATAGTTTATTTTTAATCTTTTAGACAGATATGTACAATAAATTATTTGTAAATCCTCCCAACATTCACTCAGATTTTGCTCGATTAGCCCGTTTTCTCACTGGAACTTCATATGGACTTGTGCTAGGAGGTGGAGGAGCAAGGTTAGTTAAATGTACCTCTTTAACTAAATGTTAACCCTTTAGTTAAATGTACCTCTCTAAAGAAATTCTTTTATTTGTTCAAAATTTGTGTAGAATTATAAACATAATTCATGCTTTATTAGGAATTATTTTCTTTGTAATATCAGTGTAATATTCAGTAGATTTTATTTGAAAATGTCAGTGATGTTGCAGTCTTTGAAGTGTGCCCTTGTGGTCTCTTAGATTTGCAAAAACGTGCTGTTTGTAAATGAAATTAAAGACATTTTACATTTCTTGCTGATGACATGGCAAAATAAACTTAGCTTATCTTTCAGTTGTATTTCCAAAACAATATGTACTAAATCTCTGTTTACAAAGTAATTCTTTGATTATTCTCTGTGCTCATGAGAAATTAAAAGAGGTTGAGAAGAAATTTGGTTTGGATATTGTGTAAAACAGAGAAATATTTCTTCATTTACAGCCTTATAATCTTTTTAATAGAAAATTTTACTGTTATTGGAAAAGAATCATGCAATGACATATCTTCACATCTCGTTACTCAACAGCAGACTGTTCACAATTTGAAACTTATTTTGCAAGTGAATATAGCTAATTTTCATAGGCTCTTGATACTTTCCAGTATGGTTTTAAAAATAATTAACTGGTACTGAATGAAAAGACTAGTTAATTGAACTGCCTAATGATGTGGACTTAAAAGTGAAACTCCAAGCAGAAGTTATTTTTAGTTATTATCAGTTTGCACAAGTATGACTTTTCTTTTATTAGCTTAATTCTTGAATAAAAGTTTAAATAAAATGAATTTGAGTTAATGGTATTTTAAATATATAATTTTAGTAGACACAAGTATTTTTGGAGGAACGAGAGTTGTCTTTAGAACATTCTAATTTATAACAGTGGTTGCCATTTGAAAAGGTTTTAGAAACACTGTTATACATTATTTGTAATTAATATTGTTAAAAAACTTTATTGCTAAGCATATTAAGTTTATAAAGTAATTTTCACTTTTATGGTACTGGATTTAAGTTTTATTTGAATGTCAGTCATCTTAAATTACAGTAAAACTAGACTGTGTTAAAATTTCATTGTCTAGGGGAGCAGCTCATGTTGGAATGATTAAGGCTCTTAGAGAAGCTGGTATTCCTATTGACATGGTTGGAGGAGTCAGTATAGGGGCATTTATGGGAGCTTTGTGGTGCCAAGAAAATGATGTTACTACTGTAACACAAAAAGCAAGGGAATGGTCTCAGGTAATTCTTACTTTGTATTCTGAGTATATAGTAATATCTGAGATCCTACTTTTATACATTTATTAATCATAATTGATTTTTTAGGATATGGATCTTAGTGTAGTTGACTATGTATTTCCAGAACTTAATTGTTCATGTTTTCAGATGCCATCTATAGATATAACAGCATGAAAAGTCCATTGGACATTTTTTTAAATATAATAGGCAAAATTTAAAGAATTGTTACAAATTCTGTAAAAATAAAACACATACACATGATTTTATATTTCAGGAAACAAAAACATTTTAAAGTTAACATGTTTATTATTACATGAAAAATGCAAACTTTTTAATGTAATAACATATAACTTTGAATGTCTGCTTGTTTACAAAATTGTCATCCTAGTTTTAAATACTCACATTTTATAAATCCCACGAACGGGCTGGCTGCATGGGCATTTTCGTGGTTTTCCCCATGTGTAACGTGTATACGAGCCAGTTTCCCTTAGAAAGTCCTTCCACAAAGGCATCCCTCCCCTTAGGCAGATACCTCGAGGCTTTGCCATAATCACACACACACATTGTATAAAATTAAGCTTCATAAAATCATGTACTGCCATAGATGAATATTTCTCAGCAGCTGAGTTTACAATCTCTTAACAGCTAGCTTTCTTCCATGTAAATTTCTGTCTTGAGTACTAACCATCTCCAAGCATGTAACTAAATCCAAAACATCAGCCGTGGATACTGAATGTGTTTTAAAACACCGCATTCCCACTTCACTAATACTCTTCTCCAAACACGTAGCTACATCCGAAACATCAGCCGTGGATACTGAATATGTTTTAAAACCAAGAGAATCTTCGTCAATCAACTTGTCATATACAAACATGATCGTAGGCTACAATTTATGCCAGCAATAAAGTGATGTAAGGTTCTTTATATTTTGCTAAGCAAAAGATAAAATAAATTCAACATCTTTCAGTGTAAATTGTTTCTGAAAATCATTGACTGATTTAAACTTTTTTCTTTCTTCAATTATACATACATAAATAAATTTAACATGGTGCTAAGCAGTGTGATGAAGAGAAGAAAGTTGAATGTGTAATAATGAGATAAATAAATTGATTCATTTGTGATTTTTTCTATGGCTACTGAATTTTGAGGATTTTTCTTGTTAAGAGAATTAAAAGCATAAAAAATTTAATTTAGTATTTCATTATCTTAGGCTTGATAATATCCTAGCCAAATGCTGTGCAGGAATCATAGAACTGTAGCGAAATTTTTTACTTGTCTTATTTCCCACACGTAAATTATCTGATAATAATGTTGGATAATTCAGATTCAGTAGTAAAATGTTGATGTGCTTGCAACACTGAATAGCCTAATTATATTCAAATAAAAATGGTAGTTTGATTGGTATTTTATTAATGATCATGAATATAGAAGTTGAAACTGTCTAACAGTGCAAGTTTTCAAAATTTACAGGAATAAACTGATAAAAGATTGATGTTGTTGCCATTAAATGTGATGCCTTCCTTATGTTATGTTATAATTGTTTGTGTTATCATAATTTTCTATGTAAATAATATAGTGTATTTTTTATTTGTTATTTAATTTTAAAATGTGCAGTATGTCAGAATGTTAATTGGATGCAAAAGATTCACTGAACAAATTTATTTATCATTTGGCAGCTTGGTAACCAAATTTGAAGTTTTGAGTATTTAATTAACCTCTTAATGATCATATAATTTTCAAGAAAACGGTCGTAAAAGTGCCTATTTTTTTAATTGAAGAAAATTGTATAGAAATTAAATGTATGTACAATATATGCATTCATTTTCAATTTCTGGATTTTTTTAGCTTGAAATTTTTAAAATATAATTTTTTAGGAAAAACCAACATCCAGGTTTATTTTGACTGAATGTTGGTTTTCTAGTAAGCCAGGAAAATTTCAGAAATATGTGTTTTAAACATTAAAAGAGAATTTTATTAAACTTACACATAATATAAACAAAGCTTAGTAATTTTTTCTTGTGTGATAAATTTCAAAGCATGAGATGCAAAGGGCAACATCACAATCTGGACAGTAGTACCCAGTTTCCTTCCTACATCTCTTATTGTTTTCATTTCTTCTGGAACAACAAACTTTACATTTCTTGATGGTTGCCGTTTTTTATCAGTTGGGGGTATCTGTCTAATAAAATGTCTTTCAATCAAAACGGTTTGGATTATCCTCCAAGCTTGGCCAGCTTCTTTTTGAAATGGTGTCTGATGATTGATATATTTCAATAAGTTCATCTACTAAAGATAAACGAAACATCAAATGGGATTTTTTCCTACCCTGCCTTTTGTAAATAAAATACGAGTTCAAAACAGTTTGGTCTAATAAATGAAAAAATATTTTCTTCTAATATTTCTTTCCTCTTTTTCGAGCAATGGAGTAATCTCCAAGATACTGGTCTGCAATATCTACCGCTCCCATATTTTTATTGTAATCTGTGACAATTGTAGGTTTTTTGACAACATTGTTATGACACTGCACATCTACCATGTAATTTGTGTGAACTGTAGATAGCATGGTAACATCTTTCTTACCTTTCCACTTCATGGCAAAAAAAAAAAAAAAAAAAAAAAAAAAAAAAAAAAAAAACCCTCCAAAACGGCTTACTCCAAAATGGGATCTCTTTTTCGGCATATATTGTCGACATCCTAAATGTCCTTTGAAAAGCATGAGGGTTTCATCAATTACAATACCACATCCAGGAGTTACAGCTCTTTGAAACAATTCATTCAGGTGCTGTAACACTGGCCAGATTTTATGCAGCTTGGGATTTGGATGTGTGTTACAATCAAAAGCTTCATTATCTACAAAATGCAGAAACTTGTGTATTTCATAAAATCTATTACAAGGCATTATGCTTCTGAAAAAAGGTGTTGAAATTGAATGGTTTTTGCTCCAATACATTTTCGTATCTGTTTTTTTTTTTTTTTTTTTTTTTTTTTTTTTTTTTTTTTTACAATACCTTGTAAAATAACAATACTGAGAAATTTAAGAATTTCTTCCTTTGTGACAGGTACCAAAGGTTTTCTATTTTTGAATAGGCGGAATCCTGGAGAATTTTGGCATTGTTTGGTGTATCTATTTGTTTCCGAAACGATGAGATCCACTAAATTGTCATTCACAAAATATTTAAACTATTATAAGACACCAGAACTTAAATCAAAATTTATATTTACCTTTGGTGTTCCCCAAAGTTTAAAATGTGGGGGTGCATGATATGCTGAAGTAGACACAATTTGAGTCCAGGCAACAGTATGGATCCATCATCACTGCTCTCAGATTCATTAACCGAAATTTCATAAAAATCAGTTACTTCAGAATCACTTTCAGATAAATTTATACTAAAATCAGAATTACTATCTGACTCTGACTCCATAATGTACAGAATAAAAATCTTAAGTATATTTTATCACAGAAACAGAACCACGTGTATTCACAATGAGACTAAATGTGTGACTGAGCTAACGATAAAATTAGAAAACACATAGCATAAATACACATTTGATTAGTGCTGACATCTAGTTTTAAATAAACTAACTATGTCTAATTGCATAAAATATTATCCTGGTACTGCCATCTATTGTGTAAAATAAGAAATAAAACTTTTTCTGGGCGAAAGAAACGAATAGGTTTTTATTCCTTTTAGCACGTTGCTTTTGAACTCTCCAGCCCGGAAAAATCATGGGCATGAGAAATAAAGGGCGAAAACTCACCCCGTTTATTTTGATGGGAGCAAGAAGGAAGGGGTTAAGTAAATTTATGGTATTCTCTTGACATGATAACTGTAACTTCTTTCAGTTTTATTTTAATTTTAGTTTTAATCTCCATATTGAACAGAAAAGAAGTATTTCTGCAAAGAAATGCATTTGTGTCAAAGATACAGGAAGTTAATAAAATTTCTGTTCAGTGTAATTAATCAAATAGCTGCAATTGCTACTTATTTTCATCACATCTATGTTTTGTAAAGCTTTATTTATTAATTATTTTTGTTGAAATAATGTTGAAATTTTGCTGATATTTTCTTCATTAAAATAATTTAATGAATTTTGAACATATGCAAATAATTTTAGTAAAATTATATGTGAAACTGTAGTTTTTTTTTTTTTTTTTTTTTTTAATAAATAATGCAGCATAAAAATCTGAAGAGGCGAAGCCTTGCCAGAAAAGTAAGAATGCAGGAGCATTAAGTGAATGGCTATATCACAAATTTGGCGAGAAATCACATTAAGTTGCCAAACTTGGTGACATTTTGGTCTTGTCCCTGTATAATTCCTGTCTCTGTATTAGCTACGCTCTTTAGATGCATATTGCATTGTGTTTAACGTGCTTAGTAGTTTTAAATGTAATTACTGATTGTACTCTGATGTTGTGAGCTGTACGAATATTTTGTGGAAAGTTCTAGAATTTCTTTTGTTAATATTCATTTTTATCAGTTTATCGGTTCTGTCTGCATTCAGTGTATTACAAACCCAAATGCCTGCAGCATATCATAATGTTGGAAGTTTCAGTATTGTGGTGATCTTAAGTTATGTTTTATAATGAAATTACTTTTGATTACAGAAAATGAACTCTTACTGGCGTCAGATTCTGGATCTGACATATCCTGCTACAGCTATGTTTACAGGTATTTTCTTTTTATCCATCATTAGTTCTATTAATAATTTATTTAATAAGCTTAGATTTTTATTTATTTATTTAATCAAGAAAGTTACCACTTGATATTAACAAATTAACACATGTGAATTTGATAAACTGGTCCCAAAGAATTTGCGATTTATTCTTCCATGTATTAACATCTTTTCTTACTTCTTACTGTTTACTAGGTATATTTAATAATTGTACTATTATATAACTGTCAAATAGTATTTAGTAATAATTTTTTATTATTTATTAAGTATTTTTTAATTTAATAAACTATACCTTTCTCATAAAACTTTTAAAATTATATACCAAAATTGTTTGTATAATGGATAGGATTTATTACCAGAGATTTTTATTTTTCCAAAAATTTGCCTCTTTTATATGTTATCTCATTAATTGTTCAATTTGTAATGTACCTGTACTTTATAAGTATCAGATGTTATTTTTTCAGTAATTAACTTTTATAAGTTTGATTTTACAATTCATTTTTTCATTTGTGTGCTTATAAGACACAAAGCAAAAAAGAAATGAAAAAGATTAGAAACTGAGAAAAGAAATTAAAAATAATAATGATAATCAAAGAAGTAAAAAATTGTGGAAACTTAAAATGTACATTTACAACATATTTACCAAAACACAAATAGGAGCATTAAGGAAATAAAAGTGAATTGCATGGCTTCCAGATAAACTAAATGGCATTCAAATGATATAACAAAGTGCATATAACTTCTAGAAAGAAACGAAAATTGGTATTTCACTTCTTAGTACATTAAAAATATAGTGCTCATACTTCAGCTGCTGGTATTCTAAGTGATAGATGAAAAGAAAGCTTGCCAAAGTGCAACTGACAAAGAATGGCTGTGTATTTGTGTTTTGTTGAGATTTATATAGATTCTAGATTCTTTTGGGATTTAAAATTACTGAAATATTAGATCCTTTAAAAATTAATTTGTATTGGTTAGAGGACTTTCTCTTTTCTGTTCTTTTTACTTTTTTTGTTAAAAATATCATATTTTAACAAAAATATCCATTTCAACCACTCTCGAAACCATTTGAACAATGTTTTTGCATGACATCTGTATGTGTGGATGGAATAAAGGGCTGTTTTTGCCAAAAAGGATTGTAAAATGAATTCAGAAGGGATTTTTGTCCATTGACATCTGGACTTGCGTATGCATGCATCTCACATAACTCAAGAATGAGTTGCTGTGAACATTGAAATTTTGTAGATAGGACTGCTATAACGTGTAACTTTGCATCTCCCTTTTTCATTGCAATCAGCTGCACCAGTTTTATATGCATGTATATATATCCCGCTCTGTTACCTGGCTCGGTGAGCTTAGCTTTTTTATTCTTATATGTTGGTAAATTGTGCATTTTTTGCTTTAAAAGTGATTGAATTATATATCCATTTCAACTGCTCTCGAAACCATTTTTTGCTTTAAAAGTGATTGAAATATACAGTTTTTATGTTTTGGTTAAGTTTTTTATGCCTTTAATTAATCTGTATGTAATTGTAGAATTATCAACAATTTAAAACTTTTAAGTGGCAAGTTAAACGTAATGAACCGCCATTTGTTTGTATTTGAAACTCGGTAGAATAGTAAAATAAGTCAGTTTCTCTATGTTCAGTGTCTTTTTGTCGAGTGGGACCAAAAGTAAACTTTCACTTTTGTGCACCGAAAAATCTGCCTTCTTACACGCTGACTGAATTGCTTGTTTTTGCATAAAAACTCTTAATTTTAATTCTCAGAAAAATTATTTTTTTGGCTGTTTCAATGTATTTGATGTTTTATGTTTTTCTGTATTTTACAATTTTTAATGGAGATGCTTTGAGTTTTATGTATTTTTACTTTGCCGTAAAGTGAGAACTGAATTAATTAAATGAGAAATATATCTCTAATGAAATTCGAAAAAATAAGTTCAAAGGAAATGCATAAAAAATGTGTATAATTTAATATGCCATATAAAGAAGTCATGTGGTGCCCGCATCAGATTTTTTTCCCTTGGTTCCTTAACTATTCACTGAAGCATTTTTTTTTTTTTTTTCTGAATATGAATTGAATGAATATGAAACTGCTTTCTCATATCATTAAATAATTGCAAATTTTTTAAGTTAATAAAAATGTAATGTAAGTAAAATCTTTGTAATATAAGGAAATATCTTTTAATGTAATGTAAGGAAATATCTTTTAATTTGTTTTGCAATGCAATCTCAAATATGCCCCCCTCCTTTTTTTTAGGTGCTGCTTTTAACCGTGCAATTATTGAAGTTTTCGGTGAAAGGCAAATTGAAGATCTCTGGCTGCCTTACTTTACAGTGACTACAGATATTACTGACAGTACTATGAGAGTTCACACTCATGGTAAGCCTATTTTTTCAGCACTTTGCTTTCTTTTCCATACAATGCTTTATATGCATATATATATATATATATATATATCCATATATATATGCATCATAATGTCTGTGCTTGATTATTTTAAGCAAATCTAATAATGCTTAATAGCCTAATGCTTTTTGAATTGACTCCTACACTGAAAAATTCATTATTAACTTCTGTTTGCATATTTTAATTCATTTTCTTATTTGTAAATAAAAAATTGCTTATTTCTTTTAGTGGTATGTATAAAACATGTTAAAAATTGTCAAAAAGTATATACTCGTAAATTAAGTTCTAATACATCATGGCATTGAGTAATATTTATCCTTGTAATATGGTGTTTTTTATATTTCATAACAGATGAGTAAATATAGTTTTTTTGCATCAGGCAAAATTTATTTATTGGCTATCTTTACCAATCAAACACATAAACCCTCACTGTTAATATTTTATCAGATTTGATCCAACTGTGGTTCAGACTGAGCTGGCTGTCTGGGTATTTTTGTGGCTGTCTCTATAAATAAAGGATACTTGTTAGCTGAAATAGTTTAGTTTTGCACCTTTTTCTAACAGAAAGTCCTCCACAGCTGTCTCATAAATAATTATAATTAATTTTAAATATTTAGTGTACTCAGAAAACTGTACTATATAATATATTTTTTTAATTTGATAGTAGCTTCTATTAAATGGGATAAATAATAGTTACAAATCAAGTCCCTTCCTACTTAGTTCTATGCTGAGCTTTTCCCATTAGCAGTGCAAGTATGATTGTTAATATTTATTTAAATAGTTGTAGATATTATCTTCTTTTAAGTGATGTTGCTTATTTTCAGTATGCCGTATTTTAAAGGACTTTCAGAAGAAAGTTTTAGTTATTAAAGAATATTTTTAAATAAAATTGATGTAAAGAAATATAATATTTATGATTTTGTATGATTAGACTATTAACATACAAAGAAATAGAATCAAGTGACATCATCATGCTCTATTAGCATTAACCTAACATCACAGTCTTATCTGATAATTATGAAAAGTCACATATTTGATTTTATACTAAATATGTTTTTAGTGCATTGGTTTCACTACATGAATTTACAGATTGATTTTCCATATTTTTTCCATCTATTGACAAATTTATCAAAAATAATAAAGTAATCAAAGATGCTAATAACTGGTATTTTTCTGACTGGAATCAAGAGAGTTAATTAGTAATACTTCTCCTATTGGCAATTAAAATGCTTAATTTTTAAAACATAAAAATATTTATTTAAAAAAATTACACCAAATTTAAAATAAAGTTGTATCAAGCTCTGCTTTCTGGAAATTTTTATCCTCCCCAGATCATGCTGTGTTACATCCAATTTAATCAAGAACCAATACTCAAAGAAAATATTTTTTTTTTTTAGATACAATACTCTTTAAAGTGTATGTTATAATTATTGATCAGTCATTACATTAAATTCATTTAGCTTAATTCTTGAAGAGCTTTTAAGTCCAATAATGCAGTGTAAAAATGTCTCAAAGTTAACTGCAGATAAGGCAAGAATATCATAGGACACAATTCTTGCCTTATCTGTAGTTAACTTTGAGAAACTTTTTTTTTAAATTTGTACACATTTTTCAAAAATATTTTTAAAAGCATTTATAAGTCACCTTAATTCATTTAGATCCTGGCATTTGTAGAAGGAGGGGGAAAAAGCTTATTCCAAGTCAATGTGGTCTAGCTTTTTATTTTACAGTCAAGAAATCAATGTGATGATTGACACTGCTTTTCTGATGAAAGTTTATCAGTGTCCATTGTAACTTCAATAAGGCAAAGTCTCAGTCTCGATTCCAGTAAAGCACTTTCAGTGTGATTTCTTATTTGTGATTTAACTTGCTTAAAAAAAGCACTTTCACGCACATATGTACAATCAACATTAGCAGAAAATTTAAGCAGTTTTTGGAAATGTTCTTTAGAAATCAGTTTCCAGAAATTTTCAGCGAGATCAGACTTTTTTAGTCTGGTAGAATGGATCTGCCTGAAGATCACAAATTTATTTGAATGTCACAGGACTTATTCCAATATCTATGGGGTTGCTTGCATAACAGTGCAAGTTTTAATGTAGAGGCAAAATCCTAGAATCTGCCCTGAAATTCTTTCCTGGCATCATTATTATTTCATGAAACATACTAAAATTTGTGTCATTTTCTTTTTCTTTCAACTGCTAACAAGATGAGAAGCGTGCAGTATTATTTGCCTTCAGTGCAATTTGCATTACATAAAGTTTTTTGCGAAAGCCCTTTTGTATGTTCATAAATTTGGGATATATTTTGTTTTCTGCCTTGTAGTTTCAGATTTAAAGCATTTAGATGAGATGTTAAATCTCTTAGTAAAGCAAGATTATTTGAAAATTGAATTTCTTCCAGTATTTCTTGATTCTCATGCCCCATGTTTTCTTTTTTGAGAAAAGTTTCATTCCTCATCCCAAACTGTTGCAGGCAGTTTCCAGCACACTTCACAGTACAATGAAATGTTACCATACTCAGCTTCTGTATTATCCAGGAATGCAATAAATGCTCTGTGTCTCTGAACTTTTAATTGCCTCCCCTTATTAAATTTACAGTATATAAAATAGTTTCCATTATCTGACTGAACCATATAACTTTTCCACTGAGAGTCTCCTGGTGATAATTTCAAATTGAAAACAAACAGTGTATGCCCCTTTTCTCTCTGCAGTCTTCCTAATGCAGATCTATGACCAACCATTGTTTTAGAGTCATCTGATGCAATGCCTGAGCACTTCAAAACCTTCATATTTAGAAATGGCCTAATCCAGTGTGCTGAGTATGTCTTCATTTAGTGCTGTTTACTAATGGTTTTATTTCCAAGAGTTCTTCCTGAATTTTAAATTCTTCATTTATTGTTCTGACAAAGATAATGAATGATCTGGCTGATGTATCTGTGCCCCCATCTAAAGCTAAAGCTCTTTTTCATTTCTCTATCCCTTTTGACCCACCAATGGCTAAGTAGTAAAATCACTGAACACTGGTGGGACCTGGGTTCAGTTCCAGGCAAACAGGCTGGCTGCATGGGCATTTTCTTGGTTTCCCATGTGTAATGTGTATATGAGCCAGTTTCCTATAGAAAGTCATCCACAAAAGCATCCGTTCCCTTAGGCAGGTAACCCTAGTATGCTTTGCCGTAATCAAGTTAACCAAAACCAAACCATCCTTTTCCTTTAAATAACATAAGAAAAAGACTTACATACTAATAATTTAGTCACTGTCTTGTCTACTTGTTTTGTTTTTCTAATTTGAAGGCAACTTCACAAAAATATTACTACAGTCCTGATTGTTCTGACATGTGTTCAGTGAAACTTTTTATTGGATGATATTTTGGTACCTATAGTTTATACTAAATAAATATAAAAAATAGTTATGTGATCTTCCATTAATAACCATTGTTATATAACAGCAAACTTGATTTAGATCAAAATGATTGATTGATTAATTAATTTATCAAACAACTTAAAAAAATGGAGAAACAAACTTGTTTCATTCCAAAAAAATAACATCTTTTTTTAATATATAAATATGCTAATTTTAATGCATGAAATATCTGAATTCCAGAAAGTTATCCACAATTCTTGCATTAATATTGTAAGAATATGAAATTCTCTTCAAACAATTCTTGCATTAATATTGTAAGAATATGAAATTCTCTTCAATTTTTAATTCTTTATGCATAGTGAATTCTCAGTTCCCTTATTTATAGAAGTGATTACTGAACATATATATATATCTTTTGTTTTGAAGGAAGTCCATGTTACTATATAGCATATAATCACAAAAATAGACTTTGTTACTACAGTCCATATTAATTAACAGTTTTGTTATGCTTGCTTAATTTAGAAGCTTTTTCATTTGTTCCTGCAATACTAATAGAAATAACATCTATGAATTTAGTACAGTTGATTGTGCTGCTAACAAGTAAATTAATATGTAAAATAATCTGCATAACTGACATAAAATTATTTTGAATCAGTAGAGTATTTTACTTCGAAATTATGCTACTTCATGTATTAATGTCAAGCTTTCAGTGTTAAATTCCTTTGCTAAATTTTCATGTTTTGATTTGAAAGATAGTAATGTCTTTGTTTAATTTTCATTTATTAAACTATTCACCAAAATTGAAAATGTGCTGTTTTTTAATTTTGTCACTGTTTGTTGAGATTTGCAGTGTACACTGGTGTGCAAAAATTAAGGACGAGACGGTTCTTTCAATATAACTTTGTACAAAAGCTTTCCAAATCAACACATTTAATACCGTAAGATCCCCAATATGTAAGGACATGAGTAATGTAAGCAACACTTACTAAAAGAGAAATCAGAGGGATAAAAAGAAGCTTTATTGAAAAAGTAGCATGGAGCGCAATGCGACTGAAGGCCGAAACATCCCTGTGATGGGTGTCCAGCAAGAAACATCCGGTCTTTAATAGGGGATATGATCTTCCCTGACTGCTAGGCAGGTTTCACAGCATCTGCCCATGCTGAGAATGAGGGTGTCAATGAGTTGTTGAGGCATTGCTGCCCATTCGTCTTGCAGAGCCAATCGAAGCTTCAGAATCGTTACTGGTGGTAAGGTACGAGCTGCCAAGCATCTGCCTAGAAAATCCCATACATGCTCGATGGGATTGAGATCCGTAGATCGTGCCGGCCAATCCATACGTTCAATATCCTCACTCTCTAAGAGCTGTTCGGCAGCTACTGTGCGATGACATGGTGCATTGTCGTCCATGAAAAGGAACTGCTGACCTATAGCGCCTCTAAAAAGACGCACATATGGAAGAAGAATCTCGTTACAATAACGATCCCGTTGACTGAACCTGGGTCGAAGATGTACTACCAAGCATGATGCCTCCCCAAACGAGAACACCGCCACCTCCATACCTGTCCCTTTCAATGATGTTCGAGGGATGATTGCGGCTTCCCCGCTCTCT